AAAAAAAACTGGATATGCGATACTGGTTAAATACTTTGAAAAAGTTTATTGTGGAAAGGTTTATCTATTTAATCATACGTTCAAACTTACTTCTCATCAACATATCCAATGGGTCGAATCAATCTTGGTACACGGGAGTCGAATGTATTCGCTGTTTCTTGTTTGTCTTTCAGATGTTCCAAAAGTTCTTCTCGCGTAAGAGAAAAGACAGCTTGCACAAGTAAGATTAGCAGAAGAAGCTTCTTCATTGAAATCTGTAAAAGTCTTTGGATCACAGCTTGAGCCAAAAATAGAGAGAAGGAATGGGATAGGAAACCATTGTTACAAATGATTCGCTCAATGACAGGTTGCAAAGTTGCGAAAGTAGGTGAATGAAACCCGGAAATGGTGCTAAAACGAGGATAGCAACAGATAATGAGGTTTTGAGGTTATCCCAGGAGGTGGGCCCCGGAAGTAGAACATGAAAAATTTTATCATTTTCTGGTAGCAGTTGCTAGCTGATAGGTAAGCCATCCACTTGCAAAATATTGCATTGCTCCATCTATTCCTAGATTTCTGCAAAATGTCGCTGAATTGGATACTATTACCTATGTTATTTACCGAAGTAACAAGTAGAGGTATGAACTCAAAATTAGGTTCAATTTTTCCTTTTCGTAAGTATTTTCTACCCAGCCGCTTTTCTACGTGATCGCCCTCGTGGCCTTGGACTACTACAACTTCCCACTGGTATGACTGATGAACGTTCGGCTCCATTTTTTCCAAATTTATATATGGCTGGAGACAAGGTAAGGTTATCTTTGGATCCGCAACTGTCCCAAAAAAGTCTTCTACACTTTTAGGCCGGTGAAAAACCAGTGTCAGTGCCAGATGTGCATCTTCCTGGTCAGATGGCAGTTTTTACTGGACGGTAGGCATGGTCTTAGTTCTTGCATTTATTGCCATAAAAGCTCATTTTTCGGGTGGCAGGTGGTCGCCATCTCGCTTATTGTAGCTCAATGTCACGCTTTGTCGCTTGCATAGATTTTTTTTATTTACCAGCTTTATCTGCTACTCATCATAACACTGATCAAAAGCGATGGAAGACAGGGGGCGACAGTCGGCGACAGTGAGCGACAGCGGCGCAGGAAACAATTGGCGGCAGCGATGATAAGCGACGTACAAGACGACAGTGGGCAATTGCACTA